AGAGAGAGAGAGAGAGAGAGAGAGAGAGAAAGAAAGAGTATCAGACAGTGTACAGACAGAAATGGTGAAGAAAGTTAGAAGAAATCGAATACATGTTTCTCGATTTGAAGAAACTGAAACTCTTCCGATCAGAATCTGGTACATAGGATTGATTCAATTCTAAGAAATTTGTTTTTGCTCAATTGATCGGCTTTTTTCTAATTGTAAGATAGGAAAAAATGTATCTTTCTCAAAATGCAAAAGTGTTGTCTTAGAAATTTGGTCAGCTTTTTTTTCTTTCTTTTTCTCTATCTTTCGAGGCGTTTTAATCTAAAATTCTTTAAGTGTTTCCAAGCTCCGCAGAAGAAAGAAAAAAAGAAGAGAGAAAAAATAAACAGGAAAAAGCGAGAGAATTGGTTAAATTTCTTTTAGACACCCCCACGCCTGGCGATGTGTGGGTACTTCGCAAGGCGGCTAAACAAATTTAACCGAGTTGCTTTCGCGGTTAGAGTTGGTGCTGGTGGAGTGAGTCAAAATTGAGATAAGACGAGGCATTTTCATTTTTTAGAGCGAGTCTTTCTGTTCTTCCACGACCAGATAATCTCTCCCTCTCTCGGTTCTCTCACCTGTCACACGTGCCTACTTTTTTGTATCGACGAAAATACGATGACACGATGACGTAAAAAAAATCATTCCTCCTCCCAGCCCCATCTATTGTCGGTGGTCATTTACGAAAACATTTACACATTACGTAAGATCTCTGACATTAATAAAAAAAAAGTTTAGTTGCGTCAGTGAAGAAACTCTAGTTTTGCAAGCTTGATTTCCCTAGCGATACTTTGAATGTACACACCGGAAGTAGTAATTCTCTGTTCTGTTTTCTTCATTGCTCTTAAAACCAACGAACGCTCCCACCTCCTCACCCCACTACTCCCAATCCTCCTATCTTTCTCTCTTGTGTAGGAATACAAAAAGAAACGAGAAGTATTTTTTCAAGGATCTCTTTATCGAAACTTTCGAGGAAATAACCGGTGAATGAAGAAACTTTAAAAAAAGTTAAACGTCTTCTCTTCATCTTCGCATTAAAGTTCCATACTTTGACTATAAATATTGATCTCTCTATTTTCTTTCTATTTAAATTAAACTCGGATATATCAAATCTTATGATTGATCTATTAGTTGGGGGGTAGATTAAAGCGAGTAGTAAAAATCGTTGAACACTTTCTTCGAAAGTCTGTTTAATGCATATTCATCACGGTCAGTCAAATCTTATGTTATTCGATTGAAATCTGATTTTCAGAGTAATCGCGTTACATGTCGCTAATGATCTTGCTGTTAATGCGACTATAAACTAGTTATAATAACCAAAAAAAAACATTATATTTTACTTACAATTAATCTCGGGTAAGAGATTGATAAAGAGGAAAGTTAATTGGAGAAAAGATTGAGAAATAATAAAATAGTGCAAAATGGTAAGTTTAAATTTATGAAATATCAAAGTTTTCAACGGTATATAGAGGTCACGATGGAGAAGAAATAGAGTAGTATATCAAGGACAGTTGAAATATCAAGAAAAATGACAGATTTAAAAGTTCTTTTTAGACTAGTAGAAAGAAAAATAAATGAAAAGTTACTAATATTGGTTGTGCAACAAAAAGATACGAGAACGATTTGTATCGGTATGTTTCTTCCGTGCGTGTCTCTCTCTCTCTCTCTCTCTCTCTCTCTCTCTCTCTCTCTCTTTCTCTCTCTCTCTCTCTCTCTGTGTATTCAAGAAAGAAGGTTGCTTTCAAGGTTTCACTTGAACCTTGACCTCCTTTTGGTTTCTCTATAGGGCGCGTCGCAGAACCTTTGCATCGATTTCGGCTGACTGAGAGGAGTGTTCCAAAGAAAAAAAAAAAAAAAAAAGAGAGAGAGAGAGAGTACAGCTCCACCCACAATTTCGTCCTGACTACAAAATAATAAATGGTATTGACATAAAAGAACTTACAATATGTCATTGTATGTGTTTAATCATTGTCATTAAGTTTGATTTTAGAAAAAAAATCGGAAAAATCGACGAACAACATGGAGAATTTCGAGAATTATATAACGGAATGCAAGAATTCCGTTATGTTGCATTACGCTGAATTAAATGCAATTTGAATACTTGCGAAATAATGTATATATATAAAATACTAAAACTGAAGAATTTTCGAATTCCATTCCT